CCAAGAAAATGAACAGTGACTATCCAAACTGTCACCAACTGTCCAAATCCGTCAGAAACTGTCAGCCACGTTTCGTAAGCCGTTAATGCCCAGCTCTTGCTACGCCGGGCCTCTCGCTGTCCCTTGAAGCCTTTCAGAAACGCTTAGTACTAACGGACGCAAAAACCAAAACACCGATTGGCGACTCGAGAATTCTTTATTCTAACACCAACATATGAGCAGCATAACAACTAAGGTCTATGAACAAGTGTTACAATAATAAATCACAATATTACTTCTGACGGTTTTTGATCTCCTTTCTGAACAGCGATCGATGAGACGATGACTGGTGTATTGATGCCTCCGCGAAAAATTGAGGAAGTTGGGTTTGAGCAAACAACCATGAATTGATCATTCAATCTTCAACTACATTGACAACATACATCCTTTTGTTAATGCAAAGACAATACTTCTGTATTTGTTGATATGCTCACTTGGGTGACTAGTCAGAATATTGTTCCCTCAAACTAGAGACAAAGATAGCGAACATGTAAATTCACCATGAAACAAATCCATGTAATTTAAATAATACTCGTCAGTGCCTGTACAACTGGTGTGTCCTACACGTGTAGGAACAGATGTATATTATTCGTAATTTGGCTGATCAATTCTGTTGGTTCGCTCTGCTTTGGTCTACGCGGAATGAATGTGGGTAGTAGATCTTGCGCTAGTATATTTCGTACTATCCGTGGACTTCAGCACAAGCAGCCTCTAAAGTATCAGTCGAATGACTGGCTAGTTTTGCGACGACAACTATCATTTTATGTAACTGTATGAAACTGATTAGAATAATCTATCGCAAAGGCAGAATATTCCTTCTTCAGATTGGCTTTCAGTGCAGGACATGGGAATATGTCAAAATCACCAGAAGCGTTACTACAATCACGACGAATTTTCGTTAAGTGATGACAAAAAAGAACGGCAATTCACGCAGTTAACTTGACTAACTAAATCAATAATTCCTGTTGAGAACAGGATATTCAGCGAAGAGACTGTTTTCAACGAATTTACTGCTGAGAATTCCATTCGTATTATAAGTACTGTTTTTGGAATATAGTAGATTATTATTATTATTTGTATATACTTACGGATTTGTTCAGTCGGAAAACAGACGCTTTTCAAAAGGCTTGACTGTTTATCTTCTCCTCAAATCAAAAAGCTACGAAGAGGAGAAGAGTGGCTGTACAAGTCTAAAGACAAGTCTGGTCTAGAAAGGATAAACATCCTGATTAAATCAAAAATTCAGAGGCTGGATACCATACATAACCGAAGACCCTTGTCTTGTAAAACTCCGAGAAACATGTGGGAGCTTTTCAGTGAAATTACGGGTTGTGGTAGGTAAAGTATTAATGTTCCCCTGTTGATGTGAATGCCCTCAACAAGTCTTTCGTACACCCTCCTAAAGATGCTTTTGGCCCCAATACATACCAAATAACACAAGGTCGGCGATTTTCATGGTTTTAACACTTTTGATGTTCTTAGGTGTTTTTGAAATCTCTACAACTTCCCAGAGCCTAGGTCCTGATGGTGTACCTGCTGTTGTCCTCAGGAGATGTGATGATATTTTGTGTTACCCACTTGAAAACATATGCAATACTTCCTTTGCTAGTAATGTTCTACCTTGTGTGTGGAAGGACATTGAAATCATCTCCGTACCCGAATCAGGTTCTGGTAATAATGCTAAATTTAGACCTTTTGCAATCACCAGCATTTTTATGAAATGGATGGAGAAATTACTCTTACTCAACCTTGTAGCCTCTTTGAAAAGTCCTAATAATTTGAAGCAGTTTGTTTACAGGCAGGGCAGAAGTACTTTAGATGCTGCTGCTGTATTACATCATAACATCGACTCCTCCTTGGACAAAGGGGCCAAATATGTACATTGTGCCTTCACCCACTGCACTTCTGCTTTTGACTCAGTTTCTAGGTGCTTTTTGTTAAATAAGCTTTCCTTTGCACAAAGTGAGTCTTGAACTATATATGCTCAAACCAAGTTCACTTTTAACTGTTTAAAAATATTCGGGTATTGGCTATATGATATTCATTATAATAAAGGTTTTCATTTCCCAATGAATGAAAATCAAAACGATATTTTTTAGTGACTTACATGGGACGGACAACTAACTAGCTTTCATGGTCGGGTGCCTATCTCCAGCGAAAGGAAATGAATTCATTCGCTCTCCCTTAGGATCAAAAACACGACAGACAAGCAGTGCTCAGTTCCAAAGAAAGTCATTCCCATGTATTCGGAATTCAGAAGTGATCAGGCTTGAGATATGGTTCGGCAACCTCTCTTCAAATTATTCAGTAAGACATTCTCTGCTGGCATATCCCAAATGAACTTCGCGAGCCGTAAGTTGTCCTCCTCCTCTGTGAAGAAAATATGCCTGCTCGTCTGGTCCCCTGCATGTGCATCAGTCTATCAATTCACCCGCTGTAATGGAGCAAGGTGAATGGGCAGTGGACAGCGAACGCTTTCCACACGGATACGACAACATATTCCAGCATGATTTTACAAGGGAAATAAGGAAGTGTGTGCGAGGCTCTATTCTAGAGTACTTGATCGATTCCTCTAACTAGGCCAACCGTGATCATGATTTTCAGATCACTTATGGAATTCATGTTAACTTGCTGCGTTTTCTTCGCTATAAACCTCTCAAGACGGTGGGTATATTGGCCATTCATGAATTCAAGCTAGACGTTTGTGGATAAAAGAAGTATGTAGAGTCCTTACTTCTGACTTAGCCTTAGAGGGGCAGACATTTTTTGATTGATTTTGTTTATCCGGTTGATCTATGCACCTTTCGTATTATTGCGGTAATTATAACTAAACATTCCTAATAATGTTACGTTCAATCTTCAACTACATGGACAGTTACTGTGCTCACTTTGAACTTTTCGCTTGTCATTCTCAATCTAAACGGTTAATTACAATAATTAATTCCACCATTTCAAAGTTCACAACGTGCAATTTGAGGTTTTATGTTAGATTCAAGCTGGATATTGTTTCGCTGACACTTTCACTCAGCGTCACCGTGTGGCCATAGTCCTAAAGTTCTGTTTGATTGACATCCTTGGGATGCTATTATGGGTGATCATGCTATTCAGGAGCTCAAGTTGAAGCTGGACAGGAAACGACGAACTGGACATGACCACGAGGACGACATGGAGGAGATAGTGTGAGGAGGTGTTGGGAGAATATTGCCAATTGTTGGCCAGATGTAGACGACTGTAGAGAACAGGACAAAGTAGAGATGTGCTGTCGAATTCCTCACGATTTCAAGTTACCCAGTTTTCAGAGTGCATTCGAAGTGTTTAGTCTGTCAATACAAGTCATGCAAGTCGTCAGCATACGTTTGGAAAGCGATATTTGGTTATTAGATGACAAACACATGCCACCATTGAATCCATGTTCTGTCGTCATATCTCATGTTGACACTGAAGAGCACTGATATTATAAGCTGGCAGATTAAATGTCACTGAGACGGATCACGCAAACCCTACTGATGCATAGCAGCAATAACGATGGTGTGGGACATTGACAACATTTCACTCAGGCACTACCACTTTGCCTATCATTCTCCCCAACTCCGCCTTATTGTTGAAACGATAAATGAAACGGATACAAGTCTACATAAATGCATATATTTGAGACGAACTGACGACCGACCAACTCAGAAATAGCTTGGTTTGGAAGAGTATATGGTTCGTAGCAAAGCACTGGTAAATTTCGCAGTTGTAGATTGTCTACACCTGCGTCTTAGTCACTGTAAAGCCTACTAATCTTGCCATCCATGAGATCTGCGTCACTATCCGTCAGTTGGTAGTGATACTTGAACAATATTTGCACTTTCCCGTCACAAACAGACCCTCCAGGAGAAACTGGATGTACTGTTTCTACTGAACATTGAGATTGCATTCTCTCGACTACCTTAGGCTGCATCAGACTAAACTTTGAGCGAAGAGAAGTAACAAGGGAGTTCCAGCTCACAAGTGACATAGGAACACTCAGTATGCAAGTGAGTGACACCGGATAAAAAATCTCATAATAATGAAAAATATGTTTTGAATGAAGTATCACAATAGTAAACGGGTTATCTGACAAGCTCTAGGTTATGTTTTGGGAAGTTTAGGTTAAGACGTGGCCTAAGGATGGGTTAGAGTCAGGTCAACATAATAAGGAGGATATTAGGGTTGATTATAATTCGATGAGGGTTAGCTTACGGAAAGTTTCGCGTTAGGGATAGGCATGGGATAGAAAGGTTTACAGAAAACGAAAATCAGCCAATCGTAGTGTGCGCGGGGGAAATTCGAGAGCTCAGACTCCCAATGAGACAGCGATCGCCCCTGTCCTCTCTCTATATACCGGTTGCAGAATAATCATTCAGGCTGTCTGAATGTGCTCGAATTGAATGTGAGCTGTTGCATGAGATAGATTCTTCTTCACTTGAATCAAGAGGAGCTCATTTGAACTGTTGTAATTTGGGCGTATTGATTCATGTGTGGATTGACATACCAAGACGGTGGGATGGGAAAGGAATCGGAATAAGTGAAACCCTGCCTTCACTCCATGGCGTACTGTATGCAAGTTCGATTATTATGTTGTGATGCATCAACATTTTCACGTTTCACAATGTGCTGAACGCTGTACATGGCCAAATACGAACAATGCTGTATCTACCAGCACAGATGAAATCCTGGAAAAGTGTATTGTGAATGAAATCAAATATTCGAAGTACGCAAAACAAATTCTAGCCTGCTTAACTCCGCGAAGTGCATAAGAAGCAATCGAAAGCAAATTTTTGATTATGCTATGGCAAATATTCGGTGAGCATATGTGAAGTCAGATTGTGTAAAAGTAAAATATGGTCACATGAGTTAGTTTCATAAGCGTTCATTCAGAGTTATCTTAGGGTACCGCGATCACAGTGTAGTTTGATTTGTTTTAATGATCTAGCCTCACAGTTTGGTTTGTGCACGCTGCCAACGTGAGTTTAGTCGTTTCTTTGGTCGGTTGATTTGCATTCATAGTTGTAATGACTGCATTAAACTATTGCGTTTTTCGGTAGATTGTTCAAGTTTTATTTTGTAAATTAATATTCCAGTCTAACTTAGATAATTTGTCGCGCGGTGGCTGCACGTAGTTTCAGGTCCTTATGGGCGATTCGCAGAGCCTTTACAAGACTTACCAGAGATATGTTCACCTCCTTATACACATCTCTGGTTAGGTCAAGACTGGAAAACTGCATCCAGGCGGCCAGTCCGTGTCTAAAAGGGGATTCACACATTCTAGAAAGTGTTCAAAGGAAGGCAACACGTATGGTTCACGGCATAGCTAACTTATCATATGAGGAAAGACTAGATAGTTTAAATCTCTTCTCACTGTCATACCGTAGGCAGAGAGGAGATTTAATCACAATGTTTAAAATTTTAAATAATGACTACGGAACTTACCTATTCTCTCTTTTCCTTCCCACTAGGTCGGAACACCTTAGAGGACATAGCAGGAGAGTTCAAAAGCCAAGGAGAAATCATATTGCTGTTGAGTACTGGTTCTCACATCGAGTCATAAACTCTTGGAACCGACTCCCAGAAGAAGTGGTGTCTGCAACCTCAATTGATTCGTTCAAGAAGGGTTTGGACAACCACAGAAATCTACTAGAAAAGGATTAACATAGGCTGCAAGCCTTCTATCCTCAACCAATAAATCTGAAAATCTGTTTTACTCTTGAATATATAGGGGTAATGTTTCCAGTTGTACTTTGTAGAAGCCATGTGGATACCTCCAGTTTGTGATAACCCTCCACCTCTTAAGATTGAAGATGAGCTGCTTCCTTCAACACTTGGGACCAAAACGCCTACTGTCTCTGCCTCCAGTAGTTCAAGTAGTGACAATCAAGAGAACTCACAATATCAGGCAGCGAATACTAGAATCAGATCTCAATTCTATCCTGTTCCGGTAATCATTAGTTTATTTGTTTTTTGTTTGTTCTATTGTGAGCGTGTTGCTGAGATTGACCTTTCGCGAGTTGATATGTGTAAAATGATTTAATGATTCAATTCAGTTAGGTGACTTGATTCCCAGTTGAGTCGTCTGTATGGAGAAGTATTACATCCTAGTGGGTACTCAGCGTTTCATATATGTCTCTGAAAATGTAGGCATGTTTGTTTCAGACAGGAGGACTAGTTCGTCAATGTATCTACTATTAAGTAGTCTTATGGATACCAAGTAACTGTTGTTTAGATTAAATTGCACGATTATCCGTGTGGTCTAGAGTTGACGGGATTCATAAAATTCACTGTAGAAAATTTAGAAGTGAAGGCGTTCACTTGGTAGATTAAGAATCTGGATTAACGATCGTATTGATCAGCTATATGAAAACGTAGATTTCGTCATGAGTTTGGAGAGTGGTACGTGATCATGACTATATTTTCGATGGGAATTCATGTAGAAGGCTTCTGACCATTGTTTTGCCGCCCAAGATGATTGAGACTTTGTGTTCAGTGATTTTGTCTCCAACTGCCATGCCACATTTTCAAGAAAGGATTTGATAGCGGTTGTGGTATTTAGGTTATGGAGGACCGAATACTCACCTCCTGAAGTACTTAGTGTTTATAGGCATTGTAGAAAGTCGGTCTTTGATTGTGAATATTTGGTTTCAGTTTTATCCAGGTGAATTAAATGTTTTTGACCACTCTGATTTCTAGCGTGCCAGATGCTTGTCGTCTCCATATCAAGTCTTACCGTCTTGCGGAACAACAGTGTATTTGTATACGTGGACTGTTCCTGCACCTGATGTCGTTGCCGACCTTTGCTGTGTGGCGAAGACTTGTTTTGCAAAGGCAGACGGAGCTATTGGGCTTTTGTTTTCGAAACCGATTTCCAAGGTGATTCTAAGCATTTTTTATGAACAGTTATCTCTGAGTGAATACTTTGTTTTGTCTCGTTTCCCTGTGAGGTGTTATTTCACATATGTGTTTGAGTGGGGACCTCTTTTATCCTTGTGGACCCGAATCTTCACTACAGGATGCAGCGTTGAATGTGTTGTTTGATATCACCAGGACTGTATTAAATTAGAATAGTGAAAGTAATAACTTTCTTGATCTGAGAAGTCAGTGAATTACAAAGAGGAATGAGACGACGTCATTACACCTTGATTAGTACTTCTGTTGAGTAGTGATGGAGAAACCTCACTGTGATAGTTATCTAATTTCACTGACAACTAGCTAGCTGGCTGAGTCCACTAAATCATGTATTCTCGTTGACGACAACATGAAAGAGGTAATTGACTAATGGTTGGCACTGTAAAGAGTCACTTTCAAACGTACCCTGATGAATAAGCCTAATGACCCTAGTCAATATGTAAGGGTGACCACTCCAACTGAATTTGAGTCTTCATCTTGTTTGGAAGGACACTGGCACAATGGTGGACAATTCTGCCAAGCTCGACTTTCCACGGCTGATATACTTTTGCTCACTTGAGTCTTCTTTTGTTGTGTCTGCACCGTGTGCCATTGGATTTTGGTGTCAAATGCATACACTTATCTATTGGAATATGTGGATAAACACTTCTTCGAAACGTGTTTTGTTAAGCCAATGTTATCTGACAAATATGTGCAGGAAGTTGGGAAAGGTAATGTCTCAAAATTATCCTAAGATCATTTTCCTACTTTTCCGATCTTGAGTTTCAATAATTCGCGGTTAATACACTTATTATGCATTCTGGGATTGTGTCCTATCGCTTTCCGCACACAGATATTACTCAAGATTCTGAGGTTGTGGAGCATCTCCATTTGCTTCCACAGGGTTGACATGTTAGATATTAGTTATTGATTATGGCTCATAACATAGTACATGGAGAAAATTGTGCACAAGGCAAGTCAGTTACCAGCTTTACGAAGTAGGGTAGTTAGTTTTACTTGAGTGTGGAGTGTTTGGATACATTTGTAACCTCCTGCACATTGTTGACTTCATATGATTTGACACAGTCTGAAATTATAGCCAGAATTACTAAGTAAGAAAGCTAGAGTATCTTTGGTGTTCTTTTCTTTTTGTAAACAGAAAGAATATGTTTGTCGAATTCCCTTGTATTTGACACGTGGTATGGCTCGTTCGCGTGTCCGATTGGTTGGGAAGCTTACACTTAGTCAACGGGAATTGGACAGCATAAAGTCAGCTCACTCAGTGATATGTGAACTGATTACAAATATAGCCCATTTGTCACATGTTGGTCACAAACCATCGAGTCAAGCTCTTTGCGATCTTATGGAGAAAGAGAAACATTCAAATGAAATTCCTGAAAGTGTTCGTGTTACAGTTACCGACCGATTTACTGATATGTTGTTCAGTCCTGAGAAAGCTAATATTCTGGCATTGATGACGTTAATTCAGTTACCAGGTGAGCTTTATAGTCCTTGTTCTCTCTTTTTCTCTTCATTAAATGAGCTATTTAAAAGAAACGATGAATTCAGTCAGCATTTGACAGACTGAGAATATTTACTTTTCAATTAGATCCTCACCACTGGCTATAATATGCATTATACATGTATGCATACCGACTGCATCCAACCATCTAAATAACTAATTCTCGTAGTTTATTTCCTGACCGAAGTAAAGATTTTATTCCCTGTGTTGTTGAGTTTATGTGTGTGTACACTGGAGTGATATAGGCAATATAGGTAAGTGAGGGTGAAGTTGATCAATCGATGGGTCTTTGTCAATGGAATCTATGCCTAGCAAAACACAACACACGAAATAAGAATAACGCAACGCCAATATCAGAGATGTGGGAAATATTACTACCAATAAAATCAAAGGATATGAAATAATGGAATCATACGGAGAATGTTTGATAGTTATGTGAGCATCGTAATGATTGTGAGCAATAAATTGTGGTCGCAACGTCATCAGAAAATAATACTGCATCACTGTGTGCGCTTTCATGAAATAAATTTATTCTATGATGTGATTAACGGTCTCATTTGTAGTACATTTACTCTGTCCCACCCGACTGTGTGATAGCAGGCAAGTGGATGCATAGCGATGGTGGCGCTTTTCTCGGACTACTTAACTGAGCGTGACCAAGGATTCTAGACCTAGCGGGATTTCTGTGTTTTGATAACATAACTAGCCCTTATCTACTGGTTAGTTGCATTTCGGTTAATTTTAAGTCAACCAGGGAATAATCTCGTTGACTTAGAATATGCAGACGATATAGTCCTTCTAGGCGAAGACTCTGACAAAATGCAGAGTCTTCTAAACACCTTGAGCTGCGATCTACGAATGTTTGGCATGCGATTCGCTCCCGCCAAATGCAAGATGATGTTACAGGACTGGACTACAGCGACGCCTAGTTTAAAAATAGGAAGTGAAGTGGTAGAGCACGTTGACCGCTTCACTTATTTGGGAAGTATCATCAGCCAACGCCAACGGGTTGATCTCTGACGAAATCTCAGAATGGATACAGGGGGCTCGTTTCGCATTTGCCAGTTTACGCCGCCTCTGGCGTAGACGAGATGTTCAACTATCGATCAAAGGGCGGGTGTATTGCTCGTCAGCCCGCTCCATCCTCCTTTATGGCTGTGAGACCTGGCCACTGAGAGTGGAAGACATGAAAAGATTAGCTGTCTTTGATCATAGGTGCCTGCGTTCTATCTCCCGTGTGAAGCGGTATAGTAAGATGAGCAATATTGAGGTTAGGTCTCCGTCGTGTGCTAGGTAAACAGGGGAAATCAATAGACGAATTTGTGAACTTACAAAGACTGAGATGGTTAGGACATGTGTTACGTATGCCAAGTCATCGCCTTCCTCGACGAGCAATGTTAGCGGATATAGGGTCAGGCTGGAAAAAAGCTAGCGGCGGTCAAATAAAAACTTGGCTCCAGTCAATGAAATCTACAATAGCTAGTCTAAGCCACGTAGGAAGGTGTAGACTTCCAGACTGGGGCCCTCGGAGAGGTAAAAATCAGTGGTTGGAAACAATTGGTAACATGGCTCAAACTCATCGTTCTCAGTGGCGCAGATGCATCCACTCCTTGTGACTTGTGTTTTCCAATGAAACTATTTTGTTCTTCGTTATTACTCCTCCTTAGTCTCACACCTCTGCTTACTGTCTCTATTATGCTTTTCTTGTACTTTCTTCTCTTGCTTTGTGTGTGAGTGTGTCGCACATATGTGCAAAGTTCTATGTCGCAAACAGACGGACAGATTTCGCTTAATTGGGTCTATTGAGTCTTGAAGGTGACAAAGTTTTTCTGTGAGTAAATGGGTTGGTTTAAATGTCCCTCTAGTTTCAGTGCTATTAAGACTCCTATGTATGTCTTCTGATGTTCCTTCCGTACTAGGTAGTGCTGTCGATGTTTTGAATTCATTGTCACGTATGTTGTCATTATATACGTCACGCACTTGAATAAAACCTGGTGGGTATTTGTTCACTGGTGTTGTTTTCTTGATTTTTCTATTTCATCACTTTAATCATCTGACGTACTAGTTAGCCTCCTAACTGAAGTACATGCATATTCGATTGAACCCACGTCTAGTCATTTCGGAAGGGATAATTGAAGCTCTAGGTAGATCTTTTGCTATTTGAATTCCCCCTGGCTTCAACTTCATTTCAAATAAGTTAATCAGCCTGCAGTCTGACCGATATCTAATCGGGCATGATATAGATGCCAAATATTTGGATAGTTCACATGTTGGAGTGTTCCTAAAGTCGACTATTGGCCTAACAGATTATCCTGTCCCATGAATTTTGACAGTAATGCTGTGTATTCTACTAGGAATAGTAGTCTTAGTCACTAAATTAAACCATGTCAACTCACCCAGAGGTGACTTCATTCGATGTATTAGACCAGCTGTTGGAGTTCTGTTCCTTATTATTGATAAGCGTGTCTGTGGGTTTCATAATCTCCACATACGGATGCATTTGAATTTGTTGATTGACTTTCTTAACTTAATCTGTTTTGTCCATAACCTCTGTTGAATTAATGTTGTATGCTTTGGCAATTACTATGCTTCTGTCGTTATTTTAGCGTTTTCAAGCTGACATTTTTGGTTTTGATAAGTTTTGTTTGTTGTTTTTGGTGTTTCAGTGTGTTGAAATAGATTGTGTGCTTGAACTTGTATATCGTTTGTCTAATCTATGGCGCTTATTGTTACTTGTGTGTGAGAAATGAGATCTTTGGGCTTTAATGTGTGAATGGCTGTATTGAAGTTGAGATGTTTTTGAGGCGCTTATATTTCTACTGAGCGCAGTGTTGTGGTTGTGAAGTTAAACATGCAAGGTTTTGTTTCGGTGTCCTGCTTGAATGAAGTATGTTAAGCAACTGACTTCGATTATTTCTTATATTCGTGATTAGTAAATGAGGCCTGAAGAGCTGTGAATTTCAAAGCAGTGCATAGTAAGAATGAGTGGAGTGGTGATGCTTTTGCCGAGAATCTTAAGATTGGCTTAGGCGGATAGCTGAGAAAGGCACTCTTTTCGACTGACCTACGGATGAACTTCTACAGTCAGGAGATGCCTAGTAGTGTTTTTGATTTTCTAGTGATGTGACGGTTTGTTGATTGATTTTATGCTGAGAAGTTTGATTTGATATGTAGTTCGAAGTGTATCTTGAAAAAAACTACACTTGCTACCCAGTCAACTGGAGTAGGAGCATAGGGTTTATACGTTCGGTGTGTAGCGATGCCTAGAATTTAAAGGTATGAAAGCAGATGGTTGTTGTTCTGTCTGTCTGTTTTCGACATAGAACTTTGCACTGATGTGCGGTAGTTCAAGTCGTCACACGTTGTTCATAGTTGGTTGTGATGTTGACAGAGATATTCAGAAAATTCATTTCTTCTGACTGTCCGTATACTGCAAGTTGTTGTTTTTCGATTGTATGTGAAGTGAAAAACCTATTGAGTTAACGTGTTTGTAGCATCATGAGGCCTCCTCAACGATTGTCCCAACCATCTCCACTTTCTCCTGCATATATGTTTGGCGATTGGTTCCTCTTTTCTTTGTTCCCATAGTTTCTTGTTGGTGATTCTTTGCGTTCATCTGATCTTCAGTATAGAGCAAAGACAGTTGTTGATAAAGGTGTGCAATAGCCTGTTGAAAATATTCTTTGTGCCCCCCCCCCGCGAAGTTTCTGATCCGTATAGAAAAACTGACTGTAGTAATGTTTGTATTGCAAATTCGACGGAATTTTATTGTTGATGACGAAGATTTGCAGATAAGTTTCAGGTTGATGAATGTTTTTTCTCGCCTTCCCGATTCTCGCTTGATTTGACATCCTCGTCCGTTCCGACTGCCTGTAGTTGAGACAATGCTCCCTAGATTGGTGAATGATGGTGATTGGCGCTGGATGTTTCTGCTGTTATTGTTGTTGTTGTTGGTTGGTTGGTTATTTTCATAACCTCCATCTTGTCTATGTTCACCTGGAATCCTGTCTTCGCTTGCTGCTTCTTCAACTAGTTTGTCGGTTTTCACTTGTTAGTCTTCGATTTTGTGTGACATCAAGCATAAATCATCCACGCGCGAAATCCAGGTCTTCTAGGTTCTTCACGTCGGTCGAGGATATCCCTGTTTGCTCGTTTCCCACTGTCTGACGCATAATCTAGTCAGTCCATCACAATTAAGAATATCATTGGTGATAATAAGCACCCTTGTCTGACTCCTGTGTTTACTCCAAACGCCTCGCTGAGTTTTCCGTTGTGGATGGCTTGACATGTGCCGTTGTCGTACAGCTGTTGAATAAGGTTGATGAATATTTGGGCACCGTACGCCATAGTACTCGAGTAGTTTCCAAATTACTTCGTGGTCAACGCTGCCTGTTGAAGGCCTTGTGGAAGTCTATGAAGTTGAGGTAGAGGTTTGATTGCCATTCCATGCTTTGTTCTGTGATGATGATGTGTAGAGTTGCAATTTGGTCAGAACATGATTTGTCTTTCCTGAATTCAGCTTGTTCTGGTCGGAGTTCTGCATCCAGTGTGTCCTTTATTCTCTCCAGGATGATGCGACTGAGAATTTTATCTGGCGTCGACAGGAGCATGATTCCTCGCCAGTTCTTGCACAGTGAGGCGTAAATCGCCCTTCTTTGGTAGTTTCACTAGGTAACCTCTCCTCCAGTCAGTAGGCACCTTTCCCTCATTCCAGACCTTTTGCGATAATAGAGTCAGCATGTGTGCTGTAGTCTCTGGGTCCGCTTTCAGTTCTTAACCCTGGGTGAGCAATATTGAGGTTAGGTGTCGAGTGCTAGGTAAAAAGCAGAAATCAATCGACGAGACTGTGAAGTTACATCGACTGAGATAGTCAGGACATGTGTTACGCATGCCTAGCCTAGTCATCGCCTTCCTCGACTGGCAACGTTGGCTGACATAGGGTCAGGTTGGTAGAGAGCTGCTGGTTTTCAAAGTAAAACATCGTTTCATCAGTCAGTGAAATCCACAGCAGTTAATTTTAGTCACTCAGGAAGATATAGACTTCCTGGTTAGGGTCCTCGGAACGAAAAAACCAATAGGTGTAGATAATTGGTGATATTTATTTTTTATTTATTTAAACGCATAAAACTTGGTACTACATGGCACCAAGAAGGATGCGCCACACAATAATAATGAAACAACATAGATCAAAAGAAAATAAAGAAGGAAAAGAAAAAAATATAAGTAGACAACGGATAAAGAACTTGGTGATATGGCTCAAAGTAACCTTAACGGCTGACGCAGATGCATTCATTCTTTGTGACTTATAATTTCCAATAAAACTATATTGTTCTTCGATATAACTATTCTTTATGCCTCATACATCTGTCTACTGTCTCTATTTTGAATTTCTTTTTACTTTCTCCTATTGCTTTGTGTGCTACATGGCGTGTGGTGACTTGACTTACTGCACATCGGTGCAAAGTTCTATGTTGAAACCAGTCAATCATTAGTAGTAGTACTAGTTTTCTCCATCCTGTTTGTCATAATTTTATGAGCTATTCAATCACCCCTGCCAGTAAACATGTACTAATTGTGTATGCTGAAAATAGATTTAACAATATACTAGATGGATGTTTCTGATGGTCGTTTATGTGAGTGGACTCTTTCACTGCTTTGTATGCTCATCAATTGGTATGTGGAGAATAACCACTGATAGCACCTGTGATACCCTAATGACCAGTCGATAGGTCCGCTATGACTAATTATGAAGTGAATCATTGAGCGAATTGGCTCATTGGTTTCATCTCTGTGACTGCATTAGTGTGATGCGGCTTGGAGTCGTCTGTGAAGAGAATCACTGCCTAGTTGAAGACACACTTTGGTAACGAGCGCCAATAAGAACAGAAGGTAGATCAACAGTTAAATGTTGATTACCTCCAACGAGCTTTGAGATCCCTGTATATATGTATGCATGTCAGGTGTCCTTCGCAGTGGAAGTTAGTTGCTTGTACAAGGTGTTTTTATATAGATTAGATTAGAATTCGTAGATGCTACGTGAGGCGGAAGTGGCTTTACTAAAGGCCTGAGTTAAATCTAGATCATTTGTAATACGAATTTTCAATAATGATTTTAGAAGTAATTCCAGGGTGTCTGTCGTATTATGCTGATGCTTGATTTTTGTCTTTTACATTTACATTCTTTTAGCATGTACTATAGATCATAAAGCCATTGAGAGTCTATTGAATTGGTCAATTTGTCGTACAAATTCATTCTCTTCGGACATTGAAGACAGCATTAATGGATCAGTGAAGATCAAACCAGTCCGTGGTATTTTGCCCAGTTGGCATGTCAGGCTGAATCAAATACCTGCAGAAGATTGGGTTGGTTTAGTAGTCAGGCCTATCCACCTTCCAGATAGCGATCCTAGTATGTTTTTGATTTCAGAAGTTTGTTCAGAAACTCCTGTAAGTTGTGTTCCGCAGTATTTGGCTTCGAAAGTTTGTAACACAGAAAATGTTGAAGAAGTATCAGTAATGACCTATTTCGATTTCTACAAAATGAAGTGTCCGCTGATGAGAGGTCTAGCCATTGATATTTCAATGCCATTGTGCAAGGCGTCACGACTCACGCGTCATCAAAGTTGCACCCAAGTTACTGCTGGTCTGCGAAGGAGTGAGTCACTTCCAAGACAGTCAGTGTTTGTGTGTGAAGGGTGTTTAGTACACCCATTATCTTCGTGGCTTTGGTTTCTGGTGTCCACGATACCTGCAGTTCTTTATCAGATGACGAGAGCATTGTTGGCATCAGAGTTGTTCACAGATTTGGCAGCTGAGTTAAAGAATCCCCAACCATGCTGTCAAAGGACGCACCTATCCAGTATGACAGATGATTCTCTTTCTCCTGTGACCATTTTTGTGCCTGACCGTCTACGTGACGCTGATTTCCCAAACGGCAAAGCGATTAACGCAACTAAACTTGATTTTAAAGTAGATAAACTAACTTCAGAAGAAGATCGGGAGATGGATGATGTGGCTGCAAGTGAATACAAGGGCGTTGCAACTGTTTGTCCTCAACCCAGTGACTTGATTGAGCCAACTACGCTGTTGAGTGCTCGTGATGCAGTGAATCTCGAGCGTTTAGAATTTTATGGTGATTCGTTTCTTCATTTGATATCTACACTGAGTGTTTACGGCACCAGTCCACAGGATGCTGATGAAGGATACTTAACCTGGAAAAGAACTTCACTTATATCAAATGCTCACCTTTGTGATATTGCTCGAGGTCTGGCATGGTATAGATATTGTACTGGTCAAATATTCTCTCCGTCAAAACATTTTGTACCTCCGTGCTACACTGTTTCATCTGAGGTTAGTGGTTTTGGTGGTAATCTTTGTTCGTATTTTCACGTTTGCTCAGAGCATTTCAACTCCTGTATGAATGTATGTATGTATGTATATGTATAGTTGAGAATTCATATGGTAGAGATTGCTAATTTCATGCTGTGTATGGATACCTCCACAGAAAGCGTGCAAGTGATTAGTTCTGATTCTGATTTATCGACTGAGGATAGAAGGCTTGAAGCCTATGTTAATCGTTTGTAGTGAATTTCTGTGGTTTCTTGAATAAATGAATTGAGGGCGCTGACACGACTTTGAACTCAATTGGCATTTCCTCCGAGGTGTTCCGACGTGATCTGGTAGAAGGGAAGAGAGAGTACAGACCGGGTGCGTAGTGATTATTGGAAATTCTGAAGGTTATCATGAGTTGTCTCTGTCTGTAGTGTGACGGGGAGGGAGAAGAGATTCAAAGTGTGTAGTCTTTTGTCATATGGTAAGTTGGTCATGCTAACAATCATACGTATCGCCCTCCTTTGAACTGCTTCTTGAATGTGTGAGTCCTCGTCAAGACAAGGACTGGCGGCCTTGGATACAGTTTTCCAGTGTTGGCCTTACGAGAGATGTGTGTGAAGAAGTGAACGTATCTCTGGTGATTTTAGGAAACGCTGTGCGTATCTATTGCCCATAAAGATGTGAAACTACGAGCTGTCACATAGGAATCTGTTTTCACTTCAGGAATTCATCATCATTATCAGTCGACTGACAAATAGACAACATACACTTGTTTTTTCGTGTACTTTCTTGTATTTTTCTAGAATCATTCGCATTGCTATTTTGTTCACCTCTAGAATGTTTGATGTTTGATTTTCGTCCATGTGTGTGTCCACCTGTCGGGGTGAACAGTTATTTTTCAGATACACCAGCCTGTGGATTACACTCGGTGTGTCGGAATCAGTGATACTATTGCAGTCGTCCAGTATGAAGTCTGTATAAATAAAGATGATTCACCGTTGATTTTCATGGTGATAATCTGGCCAGTAAAATACTTTTTCTGAGTAGTGTATTCTCCTCCGATAGCCTTCATAGCTCTCTTTTCACTTCTAGTAAGTGAGTATGAAAGTCGTGTCAATTTATTGTTTGGCTTTTCTACAGGTTTCTGATTGTGATACTCGTTTATATACTCGCCTATGTGACAAATCCTTAGCAGATATGGTGGAAGCCTTGTTAGCATGTTTTTTGGTGCACATTGGGCTGCCATCGTCTGTAAATCTCTTACACTATCTCCAAATATGTCCAGTGAATTGGGATACAATTAAGTGTGACGAAAAATATAGGATTGATGCTCCATGGCATTGCCTTCTTCACTCAGAAAGTGATATTGCTAGCAGTTCAAATTCCAGACGCCACCTTCTCCGTGTATCATCACAGAATTCACTGACCACTTGCAAATATCAAGATCTCAATGAGAAATATTTTGATTTACAATTGAAATTGGATTATCGCTTTAGAAATATTGAATTACTTGCTACAGCTATGACACACCAGTCATCAACTAACACAGAGTACTGGGGAAATTATCAAAGGTAAGCTGTAGTTCATTCTTGTCTTTCTCTTCCAAAATATGTGTTTCTTTAATGCAAAACATTTGTCAACTTAGATTGAGTGAGGAGTGCACACTTTTGTTTATTTATTTATTGATTAAAACATAAATCCGGCACATTATATATGGGTACGAAGAGGTGCTCCACACAAAATGGGATAGTTTGTGTGGGTTGTGAGATACTGGTCGGCCGTACAGACAGATTGATGCAAGTGGTTGAATGAAAGCGGCCGCCTGTCTCTCCGAGCCTTTGTCTTGAAGTCAGATCCACAAGGCAACCAATGCATGCATTGGAATCAGGGTTTTCCAGCTCCGCTAGGCCAACTCGAATGTCCACCAGTCCCAGTATGACAAGGTGTTCCACATCTTTGATGACAATATTCATATGCAGAGTGACTGATGAATTCTTGTCAGTTCGATCTCTCTATTTATCTTAAAGTTTGTCATGGATGACATTCTGGAGTCCTCTGTGAAAGACGTGCGTGTTGACGGTGTAGATTTGCTTCCTGGAGGAAGACTTTTTGACCTCGAGAATGCAGGTGATATCGTCTTATTGTGCGATAGCATGGGAACTGCCCAAATGGCGCTTAATCGGTTGGGGATCAGTGTCTGTAAGTATAGTATGTGCTTTTCGCCATCTGAGTGCAAGGTGCTGTTACAAGATTGGCAGTAGTGTGCACCTGCACTCACTCTATTGGGTGAACCGCTTGAAGTTATCGATAAGTTCGTGTATCTGAGTAGTTGTGTGAGTGCTGGCGAAGGTCTGACAGACGTGATTTCCAATTGTATCATGAATTCCCGGATGGCGTACGTCAAATGACACGGGGCTTGGCGAATTACTGTATGTTGTGTAGATGTTTGACTTTCTTAGAATTTAACCACCAAGGTCGGGTCTACAGTGTATCAGTGCGCTCTGTCTTGTTCTACGCCTTCGAAAACTGGTTATAGGATTAGGCGACAAAATTGAATTTCACAGTATCTAAGTCACGCAGAAGAATTTTAGAAGTCACAAAGACCATCTCATATCAGAAGCAATTCATGTCAAATGAGATGGTATCTATGTGAATTTGATCTGGTTCCAACAAGTACACCTCGGCTACCATGAAGTGAGAGAATCAACATAAATGTGATTGTCGATTTCAGTGTTATGTTGTTATTGCAAATTGTCGTGTTGACACGTCATCAAACCAGCTGTGTTTCAGACAAGTAATTACAAGTGAAATGGAACTTGGCGGTGAATTAATGTATGTTGCGTGGATGTTTGACTTGGAATTTAACCACTCTGAAGATGAATTGTCCTTACGACTCAGCATAAGCCGATACAGCAGTTTTGTAGAGACGCGTAAACACTTGATTCTCAGACGATGGATGACAAGTTCCAATCCCATTTCACCTACTTCAACGCGTTGAAATGTGTAGTAAATGAGCTGAAGAAGCATTGATAAGAAAACATCTAATTTTACACTTAAACAAGGTGTGTGTAGACGTGTAATACACTTGTTTTTAGTGTCTAAATAGTCAGTATGTGTGATTACTTGGTTACACGTTTATAATAGGCTGTCTAGTGTTGATATCAGTTTGTGAGTTTTACTTTATGGACAATGATTGTTGCCAGTTTGTGTAATACTTTGATAGCAGAGAATGTCAGTTATGAGGTTGTGGTTATGCGTTTGTGTTTCGGTTGGGAGTAGGTAGAATGATGGGGCGGTTACACCGAGAGAGATGACTACTACCTTGTAGAGCGATTGGATAAGTTGTTGACTTGAAATAAAATCCAGGGCCTGACAAGTGTCTGTGAGCGAATTTCTTTGTACGTAGACTGTACCTAATTTGTTGTGCTTAAATGAATGAGATAAATGCAGAATTGATGTGTCGTGTGTGCTTGCGTTGGTGAAGTTTTGCCACCGCTGACTTTTCATCTCTTTCCATTGTTTCAAATATTGTTGTTTTGTTTTCATGAAACACTTGTGTCACCTGCCTATTCATCACGGTTGTGTTGTAACGATGATTGTAACAAGATTGGAATTTCTCGGTGATTCGGTTATGGGTTTCATTGTGAGCAATCACCTGTTCAGAAAGTGTCCTCATGCTTCTCCAGGTAAGTGTGTTGAGGTGAAATGATTGTTGTTATGAATTTGCGATTTTTTCTTCTCAAAATGTTGATGTTGGAGTGATGAAAGGGGATAGCCTGAATATTCCGGCCCCTCTCCGTCTGTGTGACATTCGCTGTCACAGAGTAGTGAGAACCGTGAAGTTGTTCCAATAAATACCTCATAGAATTTTTAACCGATTGATAATATGATGTCAAGTATCTAAATAATACGCCATCATGTCACTTATATGATAACGTGAACATGAGAATGCTACAATCAGCGTCATTGTTCTGGTATGTTATCAACCCACACTAACGTTGACCATTGAAGTGTTTTGCAAATATGAATTGCTTTTTCATGAAAGGATAAATGGTCAGTGGACGTGTCATTTCTTCGTTGTTCCATCAAGTATGCATTAATTTATCTACTGCTGAATGTGCATGTACTGCTAATGGCACAACAAGTCATATGGTCACAAGGATCCTATAAAATGCCATCGAAGTGAAAATCTCCTAAGTTAACTGTCTAAGTTATTGCAAATCCGAGAAGTAATGGGTAGCGGTTTTCGTTTGAAATATTTACAGTGATGAACAGATTTATATCGAAGTAGATGTCGACGGGTATGAAGATCACCTAGGAAACAGAATGAATGTGAATGATAATCACGGGGATTGTTGGTCACAGACAAGTCAGTGAAGAACGTTGCATGTTGTTGTTGTTGTTGTCAGAATGCAGTTATCCGAAATAGGGTTTCCACTTTCTTGGCTATGTTGCACACTTAATTCGTGAAGGCTGAAGTAGGTGGAGTGAGATTTGAACGCAGAACTCATTGACTGAGTGTTTGAGCCAATGAACTCCATCTCAGAACTACATCAGAAAAGAAGCAGATCAATAGGTAGTATGATTTTAGAGTGCTTTTGGCACACAGCATAGTCCCACCAAGTTAGACAGTTATGTTTGAGTTTCTCGTTGCTGTTGGTGAGTTATCAGTCACCATGTTGACGTCCATTCTGACAGAGAACTAGCATAGAGCCGATCTCTTTTAGGAGGAGAATTCAGTCTGCACCAAACTGAAGGATGGGATGCATGACAAAGCCTCAGGATGGTCGGGGGTGGGTGCCTTGCGCTGCGGGTTGGCCACCCCTCCGTATACCTCTTGAAATGCTCCCATATGACCGGGCGTCTTACATAGCCTCTCCTGAGGAAGTCCTACTCACTGCCTTCACGTGGCGGAGGTGTTTCTCACCAAAGTGAGAGGGCGAAAGCGGATGCCCGGCGCTCTCCACCGGGTTGACTGTCCATTGGATGACGGTCTAGGGGAGATGGCTAAACCCTGATTCCAAACCTCCAACGACTGGCGTATGAAGCTCACTGGAGCTCACCGGCAGACGTATGGACAAAGGGCTTGTTGGATGTCCTGGATGTCTGGCCCCATTCAAAAAGGCGTATGAACCGAACTCCGGTCACCGGCTGCCAATGGATAGTGGACTCCTTACTCCACTCCTACTGCCTTGTAGGTCACACTTGGCTGTGTAAAGGCTAGAGCTGCACTCTCAAACAAAAGGCCGAGCGATGCTGGGGACATCACTCGTACCAAATTCCCATGAAACTTCATGAACTCTCTTGCAAATTGCCGCGCCTGGGCAGCGATGATTCGAGACGTTCATGAAGCCGGCTCATCCTCCCGTAGGAGATAGCCGAAGTAAAGTAAAGTAAGTAAGTATGACATGAGTTACTACCTAGTGTCCAATCAAAGTATCCATTACAGTCCTACTGGAGGTGATTCGTGGGGCTGACTAGCAGACTGAAAATGTCTCTGACTGCACCATTCAGTAGGTAACGTGGGTTGGAATCTCAGAAGGGACATGAATTCCTTGAGGATTTCAGATCCGCCTTGCTGACAAATGCCAAGGAGGACGAAGCCTAGGTCGAAGGCTTCCTGACGGCTGCCTCAAATCACTTCAGTTGAGATACAGACCTGGTGTTGTAAACTGTTAAGCTGAGCGTGTGGTGACTTTGCAGCTACTTGTTACCTGAGTGTCTAAGCATGGATTTATTATTTTTATACCTAATTGCAATCACTAGACTGTTCAAAAACAGAGAGAGTCGGAGACAGTTTTCCACTTTTTCCTGCAATAATGGCTTATTACAAAATTATCTATATTTCATTGTTGGCTGAATGTCAATGTGACGCCTCCAAGTGATAAAATATTTCACATTATGTTTCGTGCATGTCGATGTTTAGAAGTGAAGATCAAGTATTTTCTCCTTTCCTTTTTCCCCCACCTTAATTTGAAGGTAAACTGAGCGAAATGCGATCCACAATCGTGAGTAATAACAATTTGGCCGACACTGTAGTCGAGCATCAACTATATGAATTTATTGACTCTGGGGTTTGTGATATAAAGCCGTGCATTGATGAGATACAAAGTATTCATCATCAAACCGATTCGATTTGTGAACGTATCGAGGTAAATTAAGAGATTTCTGCGTTGTTCATTACTACTAATTGTCTTGACTATATGTAGAGTTGTAGGCTAACCAAACAGTTGTGTAAATCAGGCTAAATGCGTTATGATGATCTATTATGGTAATGTTAATAATCGTCACTGCTAAAGACAATCGCCTGAATAAATGTCTTGTGTATTGTTAGGTGTTGGAAGCGAAAATGTGAAGACTATGTGTGTATTCGAAGCTATCTACTTATCTATCCTGCTCTGTGAGTGCAAGAGAAGATTATCAGCAAATAGCTCGGAAATATAATGCAGCATATTGAAATGGTGCTTTCATTTGACAGTCTGCATATATATTTATCAGCAGGCGTAATTTGTAGACAGAGCATGTGAAGAGCAGTTTCTCTGACTTGAACCACCAGTTTAGACTACCCTTAATTGTAGGTTTTGGTGAGCAATTTAGTCGGACGAGGGAGACGGCTGTTGTGTGATCGCGCCACAGGATGACACAGCATGCGCTGGTGTCACCTTGCAAGAGTCGGGGGTCGGTGTGCTCGGCTCTTCTGAAAACCAATGTGTGACTGCTGAGTCAGTGGGTGTGTATCACTATGTGTACTCTCATGGGTGATGCAATGGTAGAAAACTCGCTTGCCACACGGGCGGTGGTGGTTCTCTTCCCTACAGAAAAACCCACCTAAACCTTGCCTAGCTGGCAGAGTAAGGCCGGTAAAGAGGGAAGGTTTGTAGTGAGACGTAGAACAAGTTAATGTATCGGTGCTATGTTTTAGTCCGACCGTCTGTTCTTTTTCATGCTATTTCTGTTTCAGTTAACTTTTCCTGTGGAGGAAGTTGTTGTCTTGGTGTCGGTAACACATATGGTAACCATCTGTATCTGTGATGGCCAACAGCCGTTGTTGGTTAATTCTGTTGATTATTGTCATTGACTGAGTGGACTTCAACGAAGGGGTTTTGCACAGAATTTCAGCAGTTCAAGTTGTCACACACTATGTTGTACACAAACGCAGAACAAAGAGATTGAAAGGAACGATAGCGAGCAGAAATGTGTGGAAGAAAGAATAGTCACAGGCAAAAGCATGGCGATTTAGTGGTTGTGGTGGATCATAGAGAGGGAATGCATCTACGCCATTGAGAGTGATATCGACAACAGTCTGTAGTATTCGTTGGTTCTTAGTATCTATCCTTCATTATTGTTAACTACGTTGATCCGAGAGGCTAGAGCTGCACATCTCAACGAAGCAAAAGTTGGCTGAGCACAGAGGTATTGTAAGACACGGCTTTTCGAAAAACCTAGAAGGGACTTTTGTCAGTTTCGGAAGTGGCATGATTTTTCATAAAGGTATACCAAATCAAGAGTATGTGATTAGTGTAAAAGAGTGTGTGGAATTTATGTGGTTTTTTATCACGACATTAGTCTTGTACCAGTCAAATGAAGATATTGACGAAGTGTAAACCGATTAACCTTAGTGACAATTCACTTGACTGTCTGTGCATAGTGTGTAAATATTGAGTCTTACAATGTCAGTGAAGTCTGTATTCCATCATACTGCTTTTATTACTTTACTTCACTTTACTACATAGCTACTGATGAAGAAGGTTGTTGAGGGATTGAATGTCAAAATTTTGGCCGATGTATTTGAATCAATTCTCGGGGCGATTTTTGTGGATAGTAACGGGAATCATGCTGTGTTATCATCAATTATTTTACGATTCTTAGGCAGAAGTATTAGTGAGTTTTTCTTTTTGCATTAGTAGTAATAGTAGTAGTTGTTGTTGTTGCTGTTGTCAGTTTTATTGTCTGTGAAGAAACCATTTCATTGCGTTTTGTTTTGTTTTTGTGATAGGAGAATCGTAGAATATGAATCTCGTAGTTATGTGCATGTATTAGGAAGAAGTAGAGTGAGATTATGTTTGTTGAGACATTGGCTAATGTAATGTATCAGTCGGAAGCGTGATCACAGTTGTTATATTTTCGTCAGGAAGAGTTAGAGATATGATTGAGAAGCAAGCAGCAGTGGAGGGTTGTTTCGTGCTATTTGGGATTCTTCTCGATAACCCCTGCAGGAATGAAACCTGGGTCCTCCAGGTTTCGAGACCAATGGGTTGAATGGTCAACGAGCTTGTTGTCATTTTGGTAACGTTAGGGTGGCGCCTTTGCCATCGGACGAAAATGAAATGTGGCCAACAATGTCAGAATCCCACCAATGTTTAGATAAACTATGATGGGACAGAGTTGTATATGTTAGCGCTACCCGAATAGCTCAAACTAACATTTATTGTTTTGCCAATGTATCACTATCAGAATATTTGTGAATTTACCTCAACTATTGAAATTATGGTTTTAGAAGTATTGCATACAGATCCAGCTTAATCTGTACACACAATTTGCGTATTGGCTGTTGGGGGATCACTAGTGATAAATAAGTGGTGTTACTCATGAGTCGTGGTCCTAGTTACATTCACTGACAATCGGAAGTAGTAGGTTGTGTACCCATAGAGGTGTTATGCGTTTGCAGCAGTTCAGAGAAACCATCGATATCTTTGCTTTTACATTTTCGTCAACGGGTGTTTGTTTATGAATGTGCAATAATATTCAGGTAGTTTTGAGTCATTGTAGGACATTGTCATTTCGGTGACATCAGTTTTACTAGATATCCTGTTGTATTGTAAAATATCCCTTGACTAGTTATCAAGGGAAAGAAAAGCTTCAGTGTACATCACAGTTAATTTAATGTCTCGTAAAGAAGAAACACCACTGTTACTGAAACTTTGAATTTCAGACTGGCAGACAGGTAGGCGTAGAGCCACCTGCTCGACTCAGAACACAAAGCTATAAAACGAGAATAATAATTGATCAACTTACATCAATAAGTAAACCGTTTTCTTTATTTTCACTGTCCGCTTTCAGATTATTGGATTGACAAACTACTGAAGAATCCAAATCAGCAACTTCATTCATCGCAGTACGTTTAGGAAGAGATGTTTTCAAATTACATTAATAATTAATGCATTGCTTTATGTGTGTATATATGAATTGAAACAAGTTGTTCGTCTGTTGTGACGCTTACTAGTTTGTTCACCGAGTTGGTAATAATGCTACGTGTAATATTTCTGGTCATATAAATACTGCTTACCTGTCATATATTTATGGAGACAGAACTCATTCGCTGTCAGGTGCTTTGACTGTGACCTTACTGAATCCACGAAGAAGAAAAATACCATTTTCTCAAACGTGGGTTTATTATTCCGAAACTGTTGAAATTAGTAGTATTGTGTGTGATTTGTTCTCAGGCTTTTGTGATGAAAGAGGAAAAATCTTAAATAATCCTCTGTCGTTTTTGACAAAAGAATGGTATCAGTATTTGGAAATCACCTGTAAATGCTAACAGAATCTTCTGTGAGAGTCTAAGTTATCATGTAGATGTGCTCTCCACTTTATTTGTGGTTGGACGGAAATTATCCTAAGTTAGAAGATTATGTGTAAGTGGATTTAATATGTATTTATGTATTTGGTGCACTGCAGTGGATTATGGGTTATGTGAATTTAGTGTATTGAAGCACCTCAACTTTATCAATATTTCGCCATTGTCTGCTTAGCTGACTGCTAGACTAACAGTTGTAGGTGGTTCTCATGATTATTACAAGCGCGGTGCAGAGGAGTCTGCAATTACTCGTTTAAATTTCCTTACTCTTTCACTTGATGCATTAATGCAGTATATGGTATGATTATACACATTGATTTTGTCGATTATGAGAATTGAATGTCGTTAGCTCTATTATTATTATTAATCTGTTCTATAGTTTTTGGTTTGTAAGGATTAGTTATGTTTTACGAGTTGATCACGGATTGATATCAGTTAGAGAACCATTGAAAACCAGGGAGTACTGGACAGCTGCTGTTTCATCCTAGTTTTGGGAATCATCGGCAGTACGCACCCACTGGGTTTCGAACCCAGGACCTTCCGGTTACAAGGCAAGCTCGTATACCATTCAGTCACTGGGACCCGATTCAATGGCTCGTGAATTCTAACTTCTACCAATTCGTGATTTAGCGCGACCCCAACCATTGTCGTTGGTGGGACATCCATCCACACACGTGACATCTAATTGGACCTCACTGGTCACGACTTCTCACTAGAACTCAGGAAACTCCAACCTGTAGCAAGTCACTAGCGAGCATCAGATCTGTTGTCATACCACTTCCGCTGATACAGTATACTTCATGCTGCAATATTTTCGATCACCAATACCGGCGATGAATTTCTCCTGAAATTTCCATTTACATGAAGCAGTGCAAATGCACTGTCACGATTGAATGTCTAGATTGCATTATATGTCATAGTTATCTTCAACACAACAGGTCTGTATATCTTACAATATTTTAAGTGTTTCTTTATGCTGTTAACACTGTGCATAGCTGTTTAGAGTTGAGACATATTCAGCTTATATTTGATGGCTACACATTCCTAAATATGAGAATGTGATTTCTGTAGGATTCATAAAACTATGCTCACTAGACATTACTGAGATTGTGGATCAATTTCAAAGCTACACATTTGCAATCCCTCATTTAATGTAGACGTATTTAGTGTGAAATTGATGAGAGAATGACGTCTAACAGTATGTGTTTCAGAATTTATCTTCAGATTTCCGTATAATCCTCTAATACTGCAAGACTTATGAGGTCTATTTATGCATGCGACATCAATATAAAGATCGGCTGTGGAGTACGAATACACTCTTATTTGTATGGGAATTTCACTTAGTATTAGTAGAATCAATGTATACTAATATATAAAATTATCTTTAATAACTTCATGTTGTGCTTCATATTTTAGGTATATGAAGGTTGCGGAATGTGAAGTCAGTGAAAATATCAATCTGTCAAACTAACGCTAATGCCCTTCATCAAAATTTTCTTTTGTAAATTAAGAAAATATTTAATATACTCTTCATTTCTACTTCTTTTGAACTTCTTCAGCGCGTCGCTGTACTATGAGCTTTTGTAATACGTGAATTCGGATTAATGCATGTTAGGCCTAGTTAGTCAAATAGAGATTCACTAAAGTATTAAGAGATTGTTACTTTGGTCATTCATAGGATTTCGCGTCTGTTTTTACAGAGGGCATTGTAAAAACTAAGTAGGATTTAGAAAGTCGACTGATAATTCTGTACTGTTATAATAGTAATAATGTATATTTCATGTAATTCACATATAAACCAATCATGGTGTTTTGTCTATAGGATAATACGATGGTGAATATAAATCGTGCAATTAGTCATAATAGTAGTAATGATAATATTAATAATGGTAATAATAATAGTGGTCTTATCAATAATAAGGATGAAAAAGTGAGGCAATGTGTGATAACACGAATAATGATGAACGGTATGATTAAACAAACAATTGTTCAGGTGGAAGTAGTCGATAAAGGCTAGTAAAAACAAATGAACCGGTTACGTAATGTTAGATTGTAAGGGAAGGAAATGAAACACGTTTATAATGAAGATAAGATTAAGGGATGATAAGAAAGGGGTTGAAAATATAAATAAGGGGTGGTGTAGAAGTCTTTAGTTGGTTATGTCTGAATAGGCCAAGGGAGGGATAATGGCTGTACGAACTTCTTTTGAATGCATAGTTTAGGTTTAGTAGTTCGAATGCCTATTGCCTCAGCTGTGTGCAGTAGACGAATAGGAAGTCTATTAGAAAGATTCAGTGGGATACGATGAATTACTTTGAAGGCTTTTGTTTTATCGACTACATGACCACTATCAACTAAATGTGACAGAATTGAGCTTCGGATTGTATTTGTCTATCCTTTGCCAAACCACGATTGGAGATATTCACTAACACGTTGGCTAAGCTGTCTAGCAGTGCGACCAACATAACTGTCACTGAAGGTGGAGTTGAATTGATAAATACACATAGATGTGGCAAAACTATCACGTTTATCCTTCGTTTGCGTCCCAATCATTCGTCTGCTAGAGAATAACAAACATAGGTATGCTGAGTAAAATGTTCTACGTATACTCCTTGAAAGTCTTTGGAATAGAATCTCACTTGATAAGTCACCATTAAATTGTAACTAAATAAATAAAGGTTTCTTATGTGCAATCAGAGCCTCAGGTTTTTTCTCTGATGTTTTCATATGTTTCTTTATGAAACTACTCGGATTGCCCATCTCCGTCAAGGAATCGTGAATATGTTCAAATTCCTTTTGTAAGAGGTCATCCGTTCATATCTTCCTTGCTCTGCTCGCGAGACATTTTATATGCATAGCTGCACTGTGGTTTGTTTCTCAGAAGACTTGTTCCGTATACTAATAATAATAATGTATATTTTCATATAAACATATAAATTTACGTGAAAATGCTATGCCACTTTTACAGGCACAATCAAGTATGATATAGTCTCAAATCGTAGGTTGTCTACAAGTTAATAATGTTTCAACAGCCAAATATTTGATATATATATCAATACACTGATTGTCTAAACCAGGCCGTATAGTTATTGATATGTACAGTTGTCCTCCAGGTTTCGCGGGAAAGTGGACCTCGTTTCGTTTCCAACCCGTGGTTGTAGGCATATGATAACCAACCAATATTGAGGTAAGTACAACGTTTACAAGGGATTGAAAGCTGATTTAGAAAAGTAAAAGTGCTAAGGTGAATCATTAAAGTGTTTTGGAATAAGTAAGTACAATATATCATTAATAAATGCATCCATAAAGGAAATACAATGGGATACTATATAAACCCTAGGCTGACAACGTTCATTTGCAATGTATAATGCTACCCATATAGGTCTTACTATCATGATGTCCACTTTTGGTTTTAATACATTTATTCCCATTCCGGTTGTTTTTATTTTATACCTTTTTGTGCATTTGGTGCACAACCGTAACCTACAGAGAATAGGAATAGACTAAGTCGAATCAAATTCATAAAGAGCTATAAAATGTTAAGTTTAATGAAATGTATTGAGGATCAAGTAAAGACGTTATTAGAAAATAAATGATATGAGATATTGTGAAGTGGTATTTAAAGATCCGACAATAGATAGCAAGTTAATTTATAAGATGCCCCATAAATCTGTGCAGAGCCCACGTGGTCGCATCTCAAAGATAGGCTGAGCGAATGATATATGTTTAAAGACAGAACCATGATCTGTCTAGGCGTTCATTATCATCTTTTCCAAGATAAAGATCTAAGCCCTCGTAAAAATCAGAAAAATCACGAGCCGTCAAATTGCATATTGCTGTTCCTGCAGAATGGGCCGATTCACCTTAGTGACCACCACCATATCTACTGATCAGCTAGCACCAATCCCCCTCCTGATGTTAGGCTCTGAGAATATGATTATTCTGGCTACAGCAAATATGTTGCTTTGTACCAGACATGTTCGTACCTCATATTCCATCTCCCTAGCTTTCTTAATGAGTGCTTCCAATAGGTCTCCACGTACATCTTTATGAACATATTATATCACGGAATATACACATTGGGTCATAGGAGTAAATAAGAAGACAATTGCAGCGAAGAAAATTTCCTTTTCGATGAAGTCATCTTCTAGGCTGTACATTCGCGTATTTATATCAAATGGATGGGAAAGTTCCAGAATAATATCCGGTCAAGGGTCAAATTAATAAAAATCAAAATTAGGAATTAGAATGCCACAATAAGCAGGGGGATGGATAAAACAAACAAAGTAGCATCATGATAGCTAAGAAGATTGACATTGTGCAATTAGGGGTTAGAAATGTAGAAATAATAAAATAGACAGGATGTTTGGATAAAATTTTGATTTTTGATTTACAGCTTGATTCCACACTGTATTTTCGGTACAAGTATGGAATTTTCAGCATGGATATCGGTAGCCCAAATTTTGCAGGCCGACCATAGATATCAGATGTGCGTCGGTGCGGGCTCGAACCCCGGACCATGTGCATGGTCGGCGAGAGTCCTAACCACTGTGCCACCGACGCACTAATGTGATGAATAAATGTTTATGCAATCAGGGATTAAATATGTAGAAATAGTAAAAAGACAAAATAAACACTAATTTCGGGTATGAAAATATGGTAGTGTAAACAGGGATTAAGAAAAACTTAAATAACATGAATAAACAGGAAGTTTAGATAAGGAAGGCGATGGGATGGTCATTATTAAAAAATTACCTGTTTATGATGGCCATGGCAGGGACAGGGGTTAGACGTATTTCTTTTGTATACACAGCGTGGGTTTGAGCTTTTGTATAGCTAGCGCCTCGGCTATGCCCAGTTGCCTTGATTTTACTCCCTTTGATTGGTTTGATCGAATCTTGTACATGATTTTGAAGGATTTTTCGAGTGGCGCTGAATGTCGTGAATTAACCAGATGTTCTGTCACCGAACTATTTACCTGTTTTCGTTCTCCTTTTACTAGCCAGGCTGGATAGTGTTCACGAGCGCGTTTTTCAAGTCGGCGCATGGTACGGCCAACGTACTCAGCTCCACAAGAGCAAGTAAACTGGTATATGCACGTTGAGGTGGCCTAATGCGACAGCTTGTCTTTCGCGTTCTGGCTGAACAGTTTCTTGCAGGAAAACGTCAGTCGTAGGCTAGCGGCGAAGTATGTTTTCCTCAGCGATTTTGAGAGGCGTTTGCGAAGGATTTCTGCTTCAATATCACCTTTGAATTCTAGATTAAGCAGAAGCATTTTCTTTGGAACGGATTGGAATTGTTCGGAAGTCTTCTTAGGTTTGAGATTCTTGTCTATGAACCTGGGCGGGAAACCGTTTTCCATCAGGGTTTTTCGAAGATTACGTAGTTCGTCTTCAACCACTTCCTCGCTGCATATCTTCCGAATCCTCGAGGAAAGAGCGTATATCAGGTTCCTCTTTCTGCTCAGGGGCACGAAGCTTTGAAAGTTGATGAGTTGTCCACTCCATGTAGGCTTTTTGTATATGGAACTTTTCAGGGAGTTGTCGGCGTTTCTTGTCAGATGGACGTCGAGGAAGTGGAACATTCCGTCGGATTCAGTCTCAAGTGTGAAGTCGATGTTTGGGTGGGCATTATTGAAAATTTGAAGTAGGTTTTTTAAATCACAGTTCTCATCACAAATAATGAAAGTATCATCGATGTATCTCTTGTAGAGATGGAGGTCGTTGATAGTTGTTGATAAGGCGTTGTTCTCTAAGCTAGCCATAAAGCAGTCGGCTAGGAGGGGTCCTAAGGGAGAACCCATTGCTACTCCATCTACTTGCCTGTATATTTCCTTGTTGAAACTAAAGTATACGTTGAAGGTGCATCGAAGTAACAGTTCTTTCAGGTAATGGATTGGTATACCGACATCGATGCTATTGGATTCAATGTAGTCACAAAGGAAACATACGGTTTCTGTCAGTGGAACGTTGGTGAAGAGAGACACGTCATCCAGGGAGACCATTTTCTTTTCTGCCACATTGACATTCTTAATTGAATCAACAAAGTCGAATGTGTCGCGGAGGTTGTGTCTTGACAGCTTCTCTTTCACCTGCCCCAGAATCTCCACCAGCCATTTCGCGATTGTATGCATGCGTCCCAATGAACAGATTACTTTATAAGAAGTTAAAACCTTAAAGAGTAAAAAGAATAGGTTGTGAATATTGGAGCAAGATTCAGCAGAACACTATAGTTAGGGTTCAATGTATGGAGTAAGAACTGAAGGTAAGGTCGGTTGGCAGGACTTAGTGTTCTAAATTATCATGACAGTCTTATATATGGTAAACATTTGACATTGCAAAGTAACCTGTCCACACGTATTATAAAAAGATATTAACACTGAACCAACAAAATTTTAGCATTTGGTTAACAATACTGCAGTGTGTGTATACTGAAGAAGAGTAGTTAGTCTACAGGGATCCGTAAAGTAAATCAAACTATATATGATAATAGTATAATCAATATTATAATTCGTATTATCAAAGAATACATTAGGCTCA